TAAATATGAAACCGGAATTTGCCCATAGATGGCCCTAGCTGTCAATGTAGTTACCGTCAAACCGCGTCATTGGCGCCATTTCCTTGTTGACATCTCTGACAAAGATTTTCAACTCACAACAATACAAGTTTCATACAACAGCATAGTTTGTAATAGCGTTGAACATGTCAAATTTTGTGCCTGGAAACTACGATTTGCGGACAGCATTGATTTTCTGTTACCATTTGAAGAAAACTGCTGCATCGAATGCTTGTCGAAGCTTACGGTGAGCATGCTCTTGGTAAATCATAATGCTTTGAGTGGTTTAAAAAATTCAAAAGTGGCGATTTTGACGTGAGAAACGAAGAACGTGGAAGACCACCGAAAAAGTTTGAAGACAGCGAATTGCAAGCATTGTTGGATGAGGATGACACTCAAACGCAACAACAACTCGCGGATCAATTAAATGTGACACGAGAAGCCGTCTCCATACGTTTGAAAGCCATTGGAAAGATCCAGAAGATGGGAAAATGGGTTCCACATGAACTGAATGAAAGACAGCAGGAAAACCGAAAAACCACTTGCGAAATACTGCTCGCCAGATACAAAAGAAAGTTATTTTTCCATCGAATTGTGACTGGCAATAAAAAGTGGATATATTTTGAGAATCCTAAGCGTAAAAGATTATGGGTAACTCCAGGTGAACTATCGACATAGACTGTAAGGTCAAATCGCTATGGACGGAAGACAATGCTCTGTGTTTGGTGGGATCAGAAGGGTGTGATCTATTATGAGCTGCTAAAACCTGGCCAAACCGTTAATACTGAACGCTACCGACAACAAATGATCGATTTGAATCAAGCTTTGCGTGAAAAACGACCAGAATATAAAAAAAGGCAACACAAAGTGATTTTGCTTCATGATAATGCACTATCATACACAGCAAAACTGGTCAAGGAAACGAGGCGTGCAAGGAAACGATTGAGGCGTTTAGTTGGGAAATACTTTCGCGTGCGGCTTACTCACCAGACTTGGCTCCGTCCGATTACTATTTATTTGCATCGATGGGACACGCACTTGCTAAGCAGCGCTTCACTTCTTACGAAAAGGTACGAAAATGGCTCGATAACTGGTTTGCTTCAAAAGAGCAACAGTTTTTTTGACGTGGCATCCACAAATTGTCAGACAGGTGGGAAAAATGTATAGCTAGCGATGGGCAAAACTTCGAATAAAATATTTTTAATCATTTTCATACAATAAACGTGTATTTTCTATACAAAAATTCCGGTTTCATACCTGGTTTACATACCTGGTACATATGGCATTTAGGAAAATAAATATTGTAAATACCTTTTCAGTGCCCTATAATACGAATATATACATCGAAAGTAGTTTGTAAATAGCTTTCTCAGTCAACATTCTCCTCAGAACAATGATCAGTTATATCTGAGAACTGTGCGAAGAAAGGTAAACATCTAATTTTTCTGTTAAGGTACCATATTTCACGTACGCATAATTTCTAAAATGAATTTATAATAAAGTATTCGTTATCTTTAGGGAAACAAAATATATCCTTATGGCCATTTTCACGGATTTTTTGTCAGATATAATACATTATCCATGTTCAAACGATTATATGTGTTATGACGATTTCTTTCATCCAAACGTTTGCCACGTTTGCAAGAAGACCAATGATGGTGATTTGATAATATGTGATAGATGCTACATGGTCTCTTACTGCTCCAATTTACACTTATTAGTAGATCGCAGCCACCATCAGAAATTCTGCAGTTCCATAAAAAAATACGTAATAGATAAAAACGGCAGGAATTGGCGCTCCATTCGTTTTTGCACGTTTCGATGGATTCAGTCCAGATATGAGTTTTTGCACGAAATATCCATGCAGTTCTCATACAACCTAGCGTTGTACCAAATCCAGATGATCATTTTCGCAAAATCATGTTATATGTGCCATCAACAAAATTATTTGCATCCCTGTCAAACGTGCTATTCCGAACATTATTGTGTTGAACATGCAAAACACTTTTCAGATTTTCATTCACCAAGATGCCAGGCGTTGAAATTATATTTCAACTCATATATCCTATATCGCAATTTTCGAATACTTGGATATACAATGGATACATATCGGGAACAATATATTGAATTTCCTGATGATAAGAGATCTGTTGAAAACATGGAAAATTTTATTACGGGATATGGACGGAACTATCATCATAGGAATATTCGAGCCTGGACTTATGATGAATATGTATATTCCGATTACGTATCACGACCGTTAACGTTGTATGATGGAATGAAGAAAGCCGGATTATTAGATACTTTAAACGTAGAAGAATGCGTTGTACATATAATATCAGAAAGTTTCGTTGAAAGACAATATGTGTATGCTTGGGAAATTCTCTTACATCTTTTACATCGCATCAAGAGTTTAAAAATAGTACTAATAGGAAAGAGATTAAAAATAGACGGTTTTTACCTTCAAACTTGTAAGAATTGTATTAAGCGTCGGCAGATATATATGTTCGAGTCTTATTCTATGTTTTACAATGAGTATGCGTCCAGTCCGTCGTTTCAGCATCCAAATGTGGTTGTAACGTTTCAAGCATGTTTTAATGTATTCCAGTGGACATGGATAAATATCATATTGGAATCAGGGCGCATAAAATGTCCATTTTTTCTTACTGCTGGATCAGGAACAATAGCGGAAGAGAACGTACAAAACATACGAAAATTTATAAAGATAGAGCCTATATATAATGCCCCAAATAGTTTTAAATCTCATATGCCATGCAGACTATTGTCTTATACTGAAGTTGGTTATCCTAATTCGTATGTAACTATTTATGATAATTTAAATTCTCAGAAATCAGAAACAGAGACCTCTTCTCCTTTGATGTCCTGAGCACGATAGATTTGAAGATCGTGTGTAAAATAATTGCTATGTTTCTTTAATAGATTGCGCATATAAATTTAGGATTTTTTATAAATACATTATGCTTACTAATATTGTGAATGTGTTACTTTTATACTTTTATGTATATATTTTATGGTTTTCTTTATCAATTATGAATATTTTTAATAAAAGATTTATACATTTAATTGTTCTTAAGTTGTTTTTTATTCCAATTTTAAGTTTTCGTCGAATACTAGCGATGCCATGTGTTTTTGTCCCCGATTTTATGAATTTTTGAAACGTATTGTCATAGAGTTACCTTTTAACAAGCAGACCAGAATATATGACATATACCAAAGATACTAGGTTTTGATGTCTGTGTATATAAAACATGACTTTGAATATGTTATTTTTCCTAGATCGGGAAAAAATATCACATGAATTTTATTATATAATCATCAGATAATGTACGAAATATGTCATATATGAACTATATTATAAAAAAGAGCCAGTGATATATAAGTACATGAAGCAGAATATGCGTCAACTTGTAACGTATATGACGCAGGATACGTCAACTTGCAAGAGCTACTATACATTTTCTGCTATATTAATTTTTAATTAAAATTTTGCCAAAAGTTGCTTAAACCGGGACATGTACCATTTAAAATTTTTGAGACAATATTCGATTCAAAATATTTTGAATTTTCGCTATATTAGTCAAAGCTAGCTTTATACTCTGGCTAAACAAATAATCAGCAAAATCAGTTAAAATTTTATAAAAATCCCTTTAGCCGAGGCATGAACAATTTAAAATATTTTTAGTCGAGATTCGAACTAAAATAGTTTATATTTTCGCTAAATCGATAAATAATTTTGGATTTTATGATTTTAGGATATTGGGATTTTATATAAAATTTTTAGATTTTTTCAGATTTTGAAATTTTTACATTTTGAGATTTTAAGATTTTAGATTTTAATATATACTAAGATTTTATGTTTTAAATATTTTAAAGTTTTAAGTTATTAACAATTTATGATTTTTCAAAATTGCAAGATTTTTAGATTTCCGTATATTCAAATTTCTAGATTTTAAGGTTTTAAGTTTCTAAAATATTAAATTTCTTAGATATTAAAATTTTAAGATTCTATTAAAAAAATAACTATTTTAAGATTCTATTAAAAAGATAACTGTTTTACAATGCTATGATTCTATAAGATTCTAGGATTCCAATATTTCAAGGTTCTATAACATTCGTTATTTTTTGTTACACACAAACACTTAACAAAATTTTGCAATCACAAATAAATAGGTTGATCCAAACCATATCTTCCTATTTTTGTAATTTTATCTGTATAATAAAAGTGCGATACG